TTTTCTCCGAAGTTTTTTTAACGCGTATTTGTTTGTGGCCAACTTTTGTGCTCACGCCTTTATTCGTGTCTAGCCACACTGAGAAACCAAACGGCCAATATTAAGGTAACTCTTTTTCTGGAAAAAAACTTGAAAACTATCAAAAAGTAAAAACAAAACAAAACTTGCGTACCTACGCGAATGTTTTCTGATGAATTTTGGCAAAAACTTGCACATTCTTGCGATTTGGGGAACGCAGCTAAAATATATGTTTTTGCTCGCGTAAAATGTGATAAAAAATTTCGGCCAGAAAAAATGCACAAAAAAATGAACACGTTATTTTTTTTACTATATTGGAAGGCTAAATTTCTACCGTCCATGAAAGGACGCTTTGGAGGGATTTTTGAAGCAACCAAATTGTTAAATTACTATTCGTAACATTAAACCACGTCCTTTTTTGTCTTCTTTATAAAACAAAAATAAAAAAACTATCGCTAGAAACTTGTACTCCCAATATTTACCATTATTGATCTCATTTATTTGTTTACCAACCAACAAGGATATGCTTATTTGTTTTTTCGTAGCTAATATACATATGTACTATTTCCAATGATTCCATTTTGTTCTTATAAAAAACTGATTGCATGCTGGTTCTAATAAAGTTGCCATGTTCTACAAGCTAGCGATTATTAGCGAATATGTTTCTTCAACTTAAGTACGACTATTTTCAAGTGGCAATTCGTCTACGAGAGAAAACATCGAGAACAATCGAGACAATCGAATAAAACATCTCAGACTCACCCATCACTAAAAATAAACTTACCGACTGTGGACTCAAAAATTGGATCCGTCTTGCATTTGAAAACATAAATACATAAATATGTATGTTTGTATGTATAATAAAATGGAACTTAATAGTAATTGGGAAGGAGATTATTTATTTACTGGAAATTTTAAATGCTGTGTAGATATGATTTGAAGAGACATTATATGGGCTATCATGGCGAATTCTACACAGGCAGTTTTGGAGGAGAATCATGCAATGGATGGATTGTTAAGTTAAAAAAGTCGTTTGCAGAAAATGATGCCAAAGATATATTAGCGTGTATTGAAATGAAAGTTGAAGATGTAAATATACAGTTCCTTAATATCCAACCATATTTAGTAGACAACAGACAAGTGAGGACAGAGCACGTTGTGAACGAACGATGAAATGAAATTCAATGAGCTTTGTTTTTAATTAGACCGGAAGAGTGAAGCTGGATTTCAAACAAAAGTGTGTGTTTATTGTCAAATTGGACTTAAAATCACATTTTAGTATAATTACATAATTACCTCATCTTAGCGGTAACCCTATTTAAAAGCATCTTAGTTCAAAGCTTATACGCACACCTTTCGCGTGATATCCATACTGTGGTATCAAATAAGCTCAAAAACTTTTAATAATCACTGTTCTATTTTTTAGAAAGATGGCAACCTCGTTTAAAAATATTTCTCTATAAAAATATTGATCGAATTCAAAATAAAAAAATACGTTTCTCCTTATTTTTGGTATTTCTCAGATCTGGCGGTGGCGAAAGGAAAAAATTGTTGGGCCACCCTAATGTGCATATGTATGTATGCATTTAATACGCACAAATTCTTGTTTTTACTCGTTACGCGCCACCTTCATCTGTTGTTTTTTCTGCCTGGATATTCACAGTTATTGCAATGCAGTCGTTTGCATATTGCCTGATGGAATGAACCCCATTTGTTGTTGCAATTAAGTGGAGCTGCCAAGCTATGCGCTTCTATGATGATTAACAAATGGTGTTTTGTTGTTGACAGTTTGCAATATTGCAATATTTGTAACTTTGCGGCTTACTAACCGTACTAAATAATAGCAATTTTTTGTGGCACAACATTTTCAATTAGAGTTGAAATTGTGCTGTTTTACTTTCCAAATAACGGTAGTTGTAGCAGTTAAGCAGTTGTTGTTATCCTGATTCGTAAATTGTTGTTTCTAATTTGTTTGTATTTATTACCAAAGTTACATATTTTTATCGAGCTTCTGTGTTGATATCTACATACATACATACCTACATACATAGTATATATGAATATGTATGTGTTTGTGTATGAGTGTTTGTTAAATTGCAATATTTCTATGTATCTTTGTGCAAGCTTAGTTAGCGTGCTGTCAATAGCAGCCTTGATAGAATTAAATTGCCAATTACGCACTATGATCCCACCGTGACGGCAGCAGTTGGCTGTCAATTCGTTTAATGTTTGGAAAAGCAGAAAATTTCTCCGATAAATAGCTGCTATTGATAGCAATAATTTGATGGTAGTTGGCTTAAATAGTTACTCAAAGGTGTTAGTATTCATCAGACTTAATTCTAGTTGGCAACTGAGATGTGCGGAACAAAAATGGAAAAATGGAATTGCAATCCGCAAGTTGTTGCTTAATTAAGTAAACATAGAAAATTGTTCATAAAAAATATAGGATGCACACGCATACACAAAGTCATAAATTAGATGTTCTTTTAAATAACAATATGAAAGTATTTAAGCTTAACTTTTTAGGCTTAAAATTTTAGATCCCTTCATTTATGTAATTATGCACATCAATACGCAAACCACAAATTTTTTTTTTTTTTTTGTATTTGCATTTATTTCTGGGGCTAAAACTTGTGTTAAAAAAAAAAAAATACTTTTTAGTTATTATTTTTTAGTATTTTATTTTTTGCATGGAAAATGAAGCTTAGAGTTTTTTTTTAGAAAACAAAAGTAGCTTCGTTTTCCTTCAGGAGCGGTAGTGAATGAAAAACGAGGACTGTCAATACAAAATTATTATGTTTGTTTACCACTTATGCCCGCTGCAACTCTTTTCAGCATAATTTTTTGAGTTTAAATTTAATTAAGTAAAGAGTCTAAGTTCGGACAGCCGGTGCTCGCATTAAATAAAATTTTTTATCACCAGCAGTGGTGGTTAGTGGTGTCAAACTATCGGTGGTACTATCGATAGTATCGATAGTTTTATTTTTTTGCCACTATCGATGAGTAGTGATAGTTTTTCTCTAAAATGCTTAAACTATCGATAGTACTTGTTGGCAGCGTTCTGCCATCGAACTCTCGTGGACGAAAATATCAATAGGGATAACCGAACTGTTCTTTCCGATTACTAAATAGTCACGAAGTAAGAACTGTTACAGGCTGTTTTACATGTTACTGCTGGTGTTGTTTACTGAGCGGACTCGAAAAAAATTGCACCGGGAACATCATAATTTGATCATAATTTCGTTAAACATATTGATAGGTACCCATGAAAAATTGTATGACGATCGCTGAAGATTAACAACTCCACATAAAAGTTTAATATTGTTTGAAATGTTGTTGTTAATGACATGTCATTTCCAACATAGCGGTGGGGGCGCGAATCTTCATCCATTGTCATCAAATTTTTCGTGGGAGCTTTTTAACTTCAGGTTACGATGTTCCCGATCTATTTGTTTTTTTTTTGGTTCCTCGAGCTAGTTTATTGTTTACTTCGATCCGTCCGGTTGTTGTTACGAGCAACAAGCAACAGCGGAAGCACTTACTAGGCACACACTCCACTTCTTAGAATCTCCGTGCCCAGCTAGAAGTATATGAACTTAGTATGTATATAGCATTCAGTCAAAACTCGCAGGGAAATTTAATAATACTGGATCAACGATGAACTGTAATCAAATAGACGTTTCTTACAATAGATCTTTCTCTCACTTGGTAGGGTCAATTAATTTATTATTTACTCACAAAAGAGGCAACCTAAATGATCTTCTGTATGCCTTTATTAAGTTCCTTATGCTGATGGCACAAGCCAATCTCAGACTTCTACGTAGGCCAATACCTAATATTAAAGGCGTACGGCTGCTAAAGAACTAAAGTATTGTAGTCTAGTCTCTGCAAAGCAACATAAACGTACATAATGTACACGACGTTTCCTCCTCTTCAAGACAAAAATGGCTATCCGTCTATTGGCTCTGGTTAAAATAATTTTAGCTTTCCTTGCCCTTTCCATCCATCTACATATGTATGTCCCTTCTGTGTACCAGTGCACATATGTGTAATCAAGTTGGCGTGAATCATTTCTTTTGCTTTAGATTTTGAAAAAAAAAGTTTATATTTGCAACTTTTAATGTATTCTCATAGCATAATGACGGCATTAATGCCATTTTTAAGGTTAAGTTTCCATGGGGAGATGTGTTAAAATAAATCGATTACAGACATTTCTTGGATGTTTGTTTGCAATGTTATTACTGACATGTGAGCAAAATTTCAAAAGTTGTAATGTTATTACTAACATATGTGCAGAATTTCAGAAAGATCAGTCCCAATTTTTTCAAGACGTTTTTAAGGTTAGGTTTATATGAGGGGTATGCTTTAAAATAAATCAATTACGCTAATATTTATTTATTTTTTTGGATTTATGTTCATGAATGTTGCAAGAGGAAAATTCTTCTAATTTTTTCCAAAAAATATATGGGCTGTGCGTCGCTTACGCAGCATCAACAGCCTCTCCTGAATATTTTAAATCTATTGAGTTTTGACTTTTCTTGATTTTTGGTGATTTTTGCTACAACTCCTCTCAAACTTAGATAGTCACATATCTATTTTTGGTTTAATTTTTTTCTAGAATAAAATATTCTGAAAAATTCCCAAAGACTTTTATTCGTTTAAAATATTTCGTAGCCACCCTGTTTTGAGCGTAATAGCAGTGTTTTCACCTTTTCTTTTCATCAAGCAATTCAGTTTTCCTTGGCGAATTTACGATCAGTTTAGCTCTGTTCGCTCAGCCGTCGCTATTGTGTCCGCTAATGAATAAATAATTCTTATTCTTATTATATTTTCAAACCAAAAAAGTGTTTCAAAATAAAATAATAATAAGTAATTGCAAACTATTCGCGTGTGCAGTGTAAATGAATTCTCAGTTTGAATAAATGCGTATTCTTTTAAAAAGTTTAAAGCCACGCCAGTTTTGAATTCCCATCCGTGTTTTTGAGCTAACTAGGAATAGCAGCATGATGTCCCAGCAGCATCAATGTAGTCTATCCCATTTTGTGACACCATTGCACTGTATTCGCATAGCATTTACACTCTTGATTGCATTGAATTGGTTGCAAATTGCGAATGCACAGAAGACAAATGTTGGTAAGTTTTTATTTTATTTTTTTATTTTAGAAAATTGCGTGCTATTTACCAAATTTATTTCGTATGCAAATTTGATTACGTAAACAGTGACGAAAATCGCTGCACCACGCAGTTTCAGTTCCTCTTGGGGGGACTTAGTACTCGTAGCATTGCAGACGCTACACAAAATGTCCCACTTAGCAGGCGCATCTAAAAACATATTTGTCTTCTAAATGCAACGCCGCCACTACGTCTCTTAGCTCCCGTTGCACCTGCTTGTTTAGTGCTGTTTGCAAATAAATATATATATATATACATGCATACATACATCATTTAATATAAACAAGTCTACGCATAGAAAGAAACTATTGAAGAGACAGCAATGCAAATTGCATTTCTTGCAATGAATTTGCTGGGATTTGGTGCTCTTTGATTTCGCCGACGATTGCTTTAAAACGAATGCAAAATAATGGATAGAAGGTGTGCAAAATACTTTTTTTTGTTTTTTTTTTTTTTGTTTTGTATATAAACAAATGTGTAAAAGTAAACACTTTAACCGATAGCCGGCTTCTTACTTTCGAATTTGGAAAAGGTCATCAATTATATTCTAATATTGCGAGAAGAGTTAGGCTTCGAGGCGTTTAGCCAAGCTAAGATTTTCTAAAACTACGCTAAAAGTACGCTTATATTATGAATATTCATGAACAAAATGCGATTATTACGACTCTGGAGGCAGTGTTTCCGCATCAAAAATATTTTTTCTACCAAAATGTCCACACGAAATCTACGAAAAGTTCAAAACTACTCTAACCGTTTCGAACAACGCCGCTGTTAATAGAAAAATCACCAAATTTGAAAATTCCACTCCAAGAAAGGCAAGGCGAAAAGGTGTTTTTTTTTTTTGAAGCGAAACTTATTAAACATCACATCGAAGAAGATTGAGATCAATAGGAAGATGAAGCTGAAGACGAAGATAGCGATGAAGAGGAAGAAGAAAATGAATACGAATATCCTATCCAGTCTAACATTAAACTTAACTCTCCGTCAGACACATGTTTCGATTGGCACATTCGGTACGCATGAGTCTGGCTGGACCCACATGCAAATTGTATGAATTTATATAGAAATTATGTGCAACATTTGTTCAATTAAACTTATTTATTGTATGTTATTCAAATATTTACTTAATTTAAGGGCTTTCTTTTTTATTTTATTATTTAAATACACTGGCGATCAAAACCGGGTGCATGTTCGACATTTTATTACTTACAGTAACATAACTTTTTTAATAATAAGCGGATTGCTTTGAAATTTTCAGCAATTTTTCCTTATTATCTAGGGTATAAAGCCCAGTAAACAGAAAAATTAACAAGTGATTCACAGCAAAAACGCAAGGCAACTATCTTCACTCAGTTTTGAACTTTTAGGAGGTATATATCAAGAGGATTGTGGAGACTCCTTTGCTTTTAATAGCGATTTTCATACGTCCGGGAATGCTCTCTACTGAGTTTTCTATGATTTCGCTTGGAATATTACCCCATTATAATTTTGCTCACCTCCAAAGCTCTTTCATGTTACTGGAGCTCGCTTGTGCTATGCTAATCCTCTCTTGACCACAGCGCTCAATTTTTCGATAGCTTTGAGGTCTGGGATTTGTGCTGGCCACCATGTTACATGTTTTTCTTTGTATGGTGTTTTTGAAGATGTTGATAAGGTGTTTCCCAAAAATATGCCTTTTTATCGTTTTGGAAACAATTAATTTTCGTTCCATCGGACCATATTACCCCTTTTAAGTGCAAAAGCTCCAATTCTCGTGACTTTTACAAAATTTAAGTGGCAGCTTAATGGCGTGGGATGTTTTGCTTGCTGGCATTTAGTGTCTTGGGTTAATATAAAAGGTATAATGAACATATCCTCCAAATAAATTTGCCGGACTTTGTAGACAAAAGCGCAAACCCTGCGGAAGAAGTTGTTTGCCAGCAGGACCGAGATCCAAAGGATTCTGAAAATGTTCGACACCGCCGGCTGCTTGGGAAAAATTTTCTTGTAATGAAGTGGTCAGCACAAATCCCAGACCTCAACACCATCGCAAAATTGAGCGCTGTGGTCAAGAGAGGATTAGCATAGCACAAGCGAGCTCCGAGTAACATCATTTTAGGTAACAAGTAATTTTTTGAAAAAAAACCGACTTCAATTCTCATTTAAAAAACTACATATACTAGTGAACCCGCATGACGTCAAAACGCCAACATTTAATTAAACTATTTAAACAGGTGAAACCCTATTCAATAACCTCTAAAAATATTCCTAATGATTAATCTAAACCATTTCTCAGTGGTGCTTTTAAAGTTTACGACATACAACAATACGACACTTACGACACCGTTGTGAATCCCCCAATAATTTCTTGTAACTCTTTCATTTGACATCCATCGCTCATATTTCATATAACTTGGGTATAAAATAGTTCAATTAGACTTCTTAAATAGGTGGCAACCCTATCCAAGATATTTCCAAACTACTACCTTCTTAAACCTCTTTTATATGACACCCATATAGCGATACCTTATTCACTTGCCAAATTCCTTTACATAATTAAAATTGAATAATTTTTTTTTTACATGTGGCAACCCTCCTATACATAGTTAAGTTATAAAACCTTTTCAAAACCATTTCGATTGCTACCCATATTTAATAATTGATTTAACTTATTAATTAATTTGAGCTCAATTTCTTAACAGGTGGCAACTTTTTTCGAAAAAGTAAAACCTTCTTGAACATCCACACCCTAAGCCCTTTAATTTGGTACCTCAGTTTTGAAAATCGAACGGAGGGTGCGGATCTGAGGGCATTGATTAGTAAATAACTTGAGTAAAATTATTTAACAGGTGGCAACCCCTTTCGAAAAAATTAAACCAGTTTGCACATCTACAGGCCAAGCGCTCATGATCCACTGATCGGATCTTAACCAGATTAGTATGGGACCACCTCTGAGGTACTACCTTTCCGATGCAAAAAGAATTATCGGTTGACGTGGTCCAAAGTTATGCGGTAACATACATAAAAAAAAATATTCCGACGAACTGATAACCTCCTCCTTTTTTGGAAGTCGGTTAAAAATGCAAATCATCTCTTGCCATGCTAATTCAAAAATTCAAAATAAAACTTTGAAAAACGGTTGCATTCCTTCATTTTAGGTAAAAATTACATAGGAATATATGTGGGTCCAGCCAGACCTATGTGTTACGAATGTGATGTATTAATCAACATCTCTATATATCTAGCTTTATATATATGATACCAACACGATTTTTTACAGATTGGTAACTCACTAAACTTTAGTAAGCTACCTGAAATTTCAAGCCTCTAGCTATATTTAAAGTACCCTTTTTTGTAATTTGAAAATGGAAAAGGCCTGGCTGGACTCATGTGTCAGACGAAGGGTTAAGATACAGAATGGGATTAGGATTAAAACTAAAACACAAAGACACCTCACCTCTCTATACCTCAACTAGTAGTTAATATTTTGTTCTATAATTTATCTGTTGTCAACCTAACACTATAACCCGTGGAACCAACCTTTTTTAATCGCTACTCTATTTAAACCATGTCTTTCAAATCATTTCCTATTAGCCCGGTGAAGTTAGATCTTCAAGGTTGCAACAATTCGCATAAACCTGAAAATTGGTACGAATGTTAAGAACACCACCATAAATGAAATGTGAAAAAAATTTATTCAAAGTCAATTTTAACATAAATAGATCATGCAATTATTTTAAATGCCGTTTTGACACTTTTTCTCTTAACAATTACCATTTCTGGGATACAACTACTCGATCGACATCCATATTGTAAAAATTCATTTACCTTATCAAATACTTAGAATTGAAGTTAATTTTTCAACAGGTGATAGTATAAAAAATTCAGTCTGTATGGGAGATGCCACGAGCCCTTTTCCAATAACCCACATGTTTTCCATGAGTATAGTATTGATTTCATACATATATTTTCATAACAAGTTAAAATACTCTACTTCAAATACTTCGAGAGTTATGCAGTATACAACTTTTTGTTTGTATGGGAGGTGCCACGCCCCTTTGTCTAATTGATATAAAAGCTACCCTACCTTTTAAGTTGTGCTAAATGACACCAGTGTGCGAAATTTCATTATGATCAGTTGAGTAGTTAGGGCGTGAAAGCGTTACAAACAAAAAATTCGAATTTATATTAGTAAGGATTATTCAGTACTGACCATTAAACTAATTTTTGGAGGTGAGAATTTTTTTCGCAAACCCAAATATACAAACACAAAATATCAAAACAGAGCGTATACATTTTTCTGCCTTCGATTGGCCATACCAGTTTCATAGATGAAAAGCCATTATTAATTAAAAAGTTTCGCACTGGTTAAGGCAGTGTCACACGAGTGGGCATTAGTCTAAAATTTGGTGTGAATCGTATCCCAATCGCGTGAAATCAAAAATATTTTTCTGTATACCAATCACGAAAAACAAAACAAATTTTTCAATAGAAGTTCGCAGTATTGTACCAATCGTGTGACTATAAAAAAAATGTTCATCCTAATTTTTTTATTTTGAACGATTGAAAACCCCGAACTTAAGGTCTGATCGCTCAAGAAGTTATCTCTTAATGTAGATTTTATGCGAGTTCCACTAGACATGTTCTGATTTTCTTGATAAAGTCAAGTAGGAATACGAAGACAAACACCATTACCACGGCCATTAGTATCACCATTACCCCATTAGTACTACCATTATCGACCATTACCTACCATTGTCATTACTAATACCATTACCATTATTTACTATGATCTACCCTTTCCATTACCATTATCATTACCATCAGCATTACTTATAATATATACCATTACCACTATCATTTGCACTGCCATTACCATACCCATTACCATTAACATTACGTTTTCTCATATTTACTTCTAAAGATCATCGACAGATTTGTACGCAGTCCCTTATTTGGCCTACAATGTAGTCGATGAGTTTCTTAGTATTCACGCCTACGGCTTTTGGTAGGCACATGGGTCCCATTGCAGGTTTATAATACCGCACTTTCCTAGCCTGTCATATATGTAAGCATCTCACCAATCGACTGGCATGAGATTTGGGCTGAAAGTCAATGCCTCGAACTGGAGTTAGCGCTCCACTCTTTACCTGTTAACTAATTCCTTAGGTGACGAAGAAATCGAGTGTTTTACACCAGATCGAATTTCTTATACTTACACGTTCGGAATATATTTTAAATACTTGCGCGAAAGAAACAATATTGGCGAAAAATTGTTAAATTTAAATAAAAGTGCTTTCTGTAGTCTCATGGAGCTGAGTCAGATTTATAAATACTATACATATTAAATAGACGTTGCTGTCGTTCTAAATAACTTATTTTTTTTTAATTTAAATTAAGGTCTGATTTACGAAAGCACCAATCCGGATATGGAAAAACTCTTTCAACTGGCTATCGATAAAGCTAACGAAGATAGTGGTGGTGCGCTGCAATTGCATGCAATTACAGCAGCCATCGAACCTGGTAACGCCTTTGAAACTTCAAAGAAGCTCTGCAAAATGTTGCGGGTAAGCTTAGCACTTCTTTTTGCAATTTGCTTGTACCTACATCCCGTTCTGGTCTAACCACTTCCACCCGGTTGCAACAGCAAAATTTGGTAGCTGTATTTGGACCCACTTCGGATATGGCAGCCAAACATGCGATGAGCATTTGTGATGCCAAGGAGCTGCCATTCATCGATACACGCTGGGATTTTGGTGTGCAAATGCCAACAGTTAATTTGTATCCACATGCCTCACAGTTGGCGTTGGCATTGAAGGATTTGGTTGTGGCCTTGGAGTGGGCCGATACATTTACAATCATCTATGAAACTGGTATGTATGTATGTAGGCGGGATGCGTGAATCGAGTGGGAGTTGACGCATGACAATTTTTGTTTTATTTTTAATTTGCTTATTAATCAACAGGTGAATTCTTGCCTACGGTGAATCAGTTACTGCAAATGTATGGCACGAGTGGGCCCACAATCACCGTACGACGCTACGAGTTGGATTTGAATGGTGATTATCGAAATGTGTTGCGACGCATTAAGAAATCTGGGGACTACTCCTTTGTTGTTGTGGGTTCGATGGACACATTGCCCGAGTTTTTCAAACAGGTGAGTGGCTAGGTGCTTTTGAATTTCTTGCAGGTCGAGGTTATAGCATTGCAATTACAGGCTCAACAAGTGGGACTCATGACTAGTGACTACCGTTACATTGTGGGCAATTTGGATTTTCAAACTATGGATTTGGAGCCTTTTCAACATGGCGACACCAACATCACGGCCCTACGCTTGGTTTCTCCGGAATCGGAGAGTGTGCAGCAATTGGCCAAAGCCTTGTACGAAACTGACGATCCTTTTCAAAATGGTAGGAAAGTAATTTGTCAACGACCAAGATTGACCCGAATTCGGAATTCCTTGTATCAAATATATCCTAAAGGTTCTTAGAGAGTGAGTGATCGATAACAAAATAGATAAAATATCGATAACAAAATCGATAAAAATATCGATAGCAAAATCGATAAAAATGATCGCTAAAAAATAGTTAAAAATATCGATTACAAAATCGATTACAAATCGATAAAATACCGATAACAAAATTGATAAAACTATGGATTATTACATCCACAAGTTCCGAAAATATCGACAGCAAAATTGATAAAAATATCGATAAAAAATGGGTAAAAATATCGATAACAAAACCGATAAAAATGTCGATTATTTTATAGATAAGTCCCGAGAATCCCGCAAATTTCTAAAATCCCAAAATAGTTCCCAGATTGAGTCTCTGTGTCCATGGGCATAGCCAGGTAGTGGCAGGGGGGGCTCGAGCCCCCCCCCCCCATAACTTTAAAATTTTCCTTATATATATATAAAATAGTACCCTGAAATGCCAGTTTAATAGGGTCGAGCCCCCCCCCCCCCTCCCCCTCCCCTAAATTTCATTCTGGCTACGCCGATGTCTGTGTCTCTCTCTATATCTTTTCCTCTTCAATTACCTTTATTTTAATCTTTCTTCCCTGATCTTCATCTTTACTTTTATCGGGATCCTTATCCTCCTCTTTAACTTTACTTTTATGTTTATCATTTTCTTCATTTACATTTTTCCCTACACCTTTGTCCTTATATATATATATCGTCGTTTAAAGTGCAAAACCGCGTATCAACAAAATGCTAAACCGCGTATGTGAAGTTGTAGAAATTATTTTCTAGAGCGTAAAAGCACTCATATTTCAAAATGGTTCTCTTTTTTATAAAGCAATCGCATTTCTGGCTAGTATGTTACAGCACGAATGGATAAGGATTAAGCCAGGAGCTTGTGTGAGCAAATCCAATTTTTGGCAGCCAATGTCAGTTACGCGGTTTTGCGGAATGACGTTACGCGGTTTTGTACTTTAAACGACGATATAAGTAAAGTGACTAAATTTACCTTGGTCGTAATTTTTATACCTGAGCGCACTTGTGAAGAAGGGTATATTAACTTTGTTCACATAACGGTTGTTTGTAACAGCCAAAACGAATCAAGATAGATATAGACAAATGTATACATACATAAATGCTCAGAATGAATAGAGAAGTCGATTAGACCATGTCTGTCTGTCTGTCCGTCTGTCCGTCCGTCCGTGTACACGATAACTCGAGCAAAAATTGCGATATCTCAACGAAATTTGGTATGTAGGTTTCCATTAATCCAAGGTAGGTTGCTATTGAAAATGGGCGAAATCGGACTGTAACCACGCCCACTTCCCATATAACGGTAATTTTCAGAAATACGAAACCCGCGATATTTTAGTAACTACTGGAGATTATTCACTCAAAGTCGATATTTACAACAATTTTCAGACCAAAAATAAGAATATTATAAATTTTTTGAAAATGGGCGTAGCCACGCCCACTTATGGTTACATGTGTATATCTTGGTAACCGCTGCACCGATTTCTTCCAAACTTGGCACAGTTGGTGGCCTTGGTGCAGAATACAAAATGGCGGAACATTTTTAAAATCGGACAATAACCACGCCCACATCCCATACAACGGTAATTTAGAGAAATACAAAATCTTCGATAAATCAGTAAATATTAAAGCTAATTTATTCAAAATTGACGCTTGCAACAATTCTTTACCATGAAATACGTTTATGACAAAATTTTGGAAAATGGGCGTGCCACCGCCCACTTTTGATCACATGTATGTATCTCGGTAACCGTTTTACCAATTTGTACCAAAATCGGTATGGTTATTGTGCTTGTCACATAAAAGCAAAAAGTTGAAAATGATTGAAATCGGACTAAAATTACGGCCGCTTTTCATATAACGGTAAATTTCAAAAATGCTTGAAACTTCAATATTTCGAAATTTAAGGACGCTAATTTACTCAAAATTTATAAACCCCGGCTTACCATTTAGCGGCAGCCTTCGAAGAGGAGGAAAACATATATTTAATACTTGCGCCGGGTATTTAATGTTCGGCTCCGCCCGAACTTAGACTATCTTACTTGTTACCTTTATCTTTACGCATCTTTGTTTATGTTTTATTTTCACATTTGCCTTTATCCTCTTCCTTATCTATTTACGTAGTCACCTTTACTTTCATTCTTGTATTGGTCTTTCTCTAAGTGTTATTCTTTAACCTTTTATTAGCAAATTTTTGTTAAATTAATACCATACTCATACATACAGGAAACACTTGTTTCAGTCCCAACCATTTCCGTTGCACCGATTTCATTGCACCATTTCCGTTGCACCATTTCCGTGTGCAATTTCCGTTCAATTTTCCAATTTACTACCAGCCAACCAACCGCCGCTAAATAAGTTTCACTTCAAAAGTATTTTTGGTAGCACTCCACTAGTGTAGTTATTATATTGACTGGTGCTGTATTTTTATATTAAAAAAAAATACACACTTATGCATATGCAAATACTTATGAGCATACATCCCTAGCTATATATTTCATGTAGGAAAACAGACTAAAGCGAACGACAAATTCACAGGAAATTTCTAGCAATAATATACTTTAGCTATTTATGATTATTTAGATACTATTCGGGTGCCATTCTACACTCGATGCCACTTGAATTTGGTCATGCAGATCTTAAATTACAGCTGCGATGTGCCGACTACGGCACACCTTCAGCTCCTTTAGACATTTAAATAATAATGCGATTCATGAAACGTCGCGAACTGACATATTTGGCGAAATGGCAACAAATGCGACATTTGCACCAACTTTAAAACATTTCATGAATTCCACTAAATTACTACATTACTCCTATTTTGCAGTGTCATGTCCTTTGACCACCAGCATGGCATTGGTATATGATGGTGTTCAGCTGCTCGCCGAGACGTTCAAGCATGTAATGTTCCGTGCGGTGCCATTAAATTGTAACGATGACAGCTCATGGGATAAGGGATACACGCTCGTCAACTATATGAAATCGGTGAGTTAATGGTGTGATAACTACCTCATTTAATACATACATACATACATACATGCAGACATGCAATCATACATACATATGCATGTGTAGCAAAAGATTATGTTCATCTCATGCTTGAGTTGGCTCAGAGCAACACTTCCGACTCTGTGATTTCCTCTTCTTAGCGAATACTCGTCCACCATTTTTATGAGTAGCATTACATACATATGAACACATGTAAATAATAAATAAATAAATTTCGCTGTGGCTGTGGTAATAGCACTCCGCTGTCGAAGGCAACTAACAACTAGTAAGAGTATAAGTAGTATAAGTATTAAACTTCAGAGTTTTAGTGTTGGGTCGAATAATTTTTTACATCTCCAATAAAGAATACATTTGTATGCTTCTGCTGGTGTGCAATATTGTTAAAGGAGAGCAACTCAAGCTCTGGTCGTGCAGCCGCCATGTATGTATAACAAACTTACAATGAACAACCCGAAATTGCTGCGATGGTTAGAACATTCGCCTATCGACTCCCACACACCCGCTCTCAGAGAGCACTCGCGTGAATGCGATGAGCTGGAAATGCAGTGATATACTTATGGGGCAAGAATATCCGAAAATTGTATACCAAAAATAAGTGACATTTGGAAGGTTCCAAGACCAGGTCGACTGTTTCTTGGGACGGTATAGAAAATACAATAGGCCGCTCGTATTTACAGTTATAGTACAAGTATAAGACGTCATTAGGGGGCCATTGGAGAAAGATTCTACCTGGCTTGGTCATGCCGTACGAATAGGTATACATAAACGATATGCAATGGAAAGACCAGGTGAAACTTGGCTTCACTTGACATTTTCAGCAAGCGTAAATTGGCACAGAAGGAGCATGACTGGAAGAAATAGTAAAGAAATTGGCTGAGAACAAATAAGAAGATAAGGAATCAAAATTCGACGAAGTATTTTCCAGATGTCGACGATGCAGCAAACGCTCAATGGATCTTTTGGACTGCGAATAAAATGTCAAATGTACAAGAAAATGTTTCCATTTGGTTTTGACAAAGTTGTCGATTTAAAACCAAGAGAAATGGTAGGTGCGTAATCTAAAATATTGAAGGAATCTACTCCGTTCGTACAAAATTTCGAACATTAGACCTCACAGCTACGTCTACGTAATCGGAACGACCCAGATTCAAATTTGGCCGAGGACTGCCACTCCAGCATCATTTCCCAAAAACTCTTTGAGTAATTTATATGCTGTTACAACAATAACAACGGATTTTCCAAACAACGATCCGAAATTGTTTTTCATACAAACTTCCCATTATGGAGAATAGTCTTCTAAAACAAAAACACTTTAGACTAGGCATGAAATATTTACAGTAGATAGATTTTGTATCTGTAGCAATGATTTTGAGGGCGATATTAATGTTTATTATATATAAAAATTACACTGTAGAGAAAATCGCAAGTTGGGAGATGACACAAAAAGCGCCGAAACACGTGAACTTAAGGTCGTAGATTAGCGATCTGTATAACATTTTTCTAGATCAAGTAATTTTCTTAAGATATTTTAATTTTTTTTTTATAAAAAATTTCAAATTTTAGCAAAGAAAAAATTTAAATTAGCAGATTTATTTTTCAAGAAAATCAAGCTACTAACGATAAAAATCGATGTATAAATAATGAAGCATTGAATGGTCAAATGAATCTGTGTAATAATATTTTGTTTGAAATAGAAGCAGGAAATAATGTTAAGGTGCTCATAAACGATGAGAGTAAATACCTTGAGAATAGGAATTCACTCTCATTCTCACCGTCTAGCAAGTAACGGGGGTGGGTATTCGTTCTTATTGTGGAGTTCTCATAAGTTCAGAGCACAGGAATATTCTTATCCGTATGACAAGTGTGTTTGAGAATTTTCTTACGCTCTCACTCATATTCTCAGCTCTCATATGTTACACGTTGGGAACTTTTATTCTCAGCCGTACACAGTGTAAGATGCCTAATAATACAAGAGCATTAGAATACAAGATTGCGTAAATCAAGCTGTGACAAACCAGTTGTGACGTCATAAAAGTAAGGGAATGAGGGAGCAAAGAATAAATTCTAAAGAATAAGAGGAAACGCGAACATGTGAGGCGAAATAATGATTTAGATGCAAGTAGAATTGTACTCTTTAATTAGAGCCTTTTAAATTTTAACGTATATTCGTACAAACACACAATTTTGGGTACAGCTGGATAGTAGAAAAACGCATTTCCAACGCGTTTCCTAGTGTGGGAAGCCTTCCAATAGCATCCTTTCTTTGCAAATGGGCATAAATATTGGTTCAATCATAGGTTTGGCTTGAACTGTTCGGAGAAATTCTCTTTAAGGCTATTATTAATGGCAAAGAGTGTTTGAAAAGATTCCAAAAGTTTATATGGTATCAAAGAGAGAGGTTAACCACCCACTATCAAAAAATTATACACATAAAAATACAGGTACATTTATCATCATTTAGGTTAAGGTTTTGTTCGCCAATTAGGTACAATTAGAAAATTTAATTTTCATCACTAGAGTGAAAAGATATTTTATGACATTAGCGTGTAGGTGGATGCTGCCAAATCGACGAAGAGAGGGTTAGCGACAGAGAGAGAGAGAGAGAGAGAGAGAGCGAGAGAGGGTACGTGTAAACACCAATGAGAATTCTCCGACCAATATGGCGGAACTCTCAAGGTATTTACTCTCATCGTTTACGTGGATCTTTACTCATATGCCAAATCGTACATGGCGTATAAGTAACATTTTTCATGCTAAAGTTAAATTTTTTTCATTCGCAAAGCAAATTTAAAATGAAAATATTTTGGAAAAATTACCTGATCCAGAAAGATAGAGAAAAGATCCGTAATCTACGACCCAACATTGAATTTACGTGCCTCGCCGTTTTTTGTTCTGTGTCATTTTAGCGTCCCTACAGTGTAATCCACAAAATTTCAAAATTCTCTTTTCATAAATAAAAAGCCACTTTCGAAAATCACTTTATATTTATGACACTGCTTCTAAATTTTTTTTCTGAAATTTTTCAGTTTGAAATACTTTTCGAAACTTCTTGCATTGCCACTAAGTATTTTAATAAATATTAGGCAAGAACACCCGATGAAAGAGAATATCCGCTTAAATCGACTTAAATCTTGCTTTTCTCCAAAGTATAGTTTTAGCTACATACTATTTCTCATGAACGTGTTTTGCACATTTCTATCCCTGCTTTAGCTCAGCATATATGCAACTAATTTCACCAAACTACCTTATTTTCATTCTTTCACTAACTGAGTATGCATCCATACATCTATGTATTCACATGTGTTCTTATATGTATGTATGGCTTATAATTATCAACTCCTTTGAGTATACATACTGGTAAGCGCTAAAAATCCACACTTTTATACTTTCAGCTTAGCTTAAGTGGCCTCACCGGTGAAGTAAAATTCGACTATGAAGGCTTGCGTACAGATTTCGTGCTCGATATTATTGAGTTGAGTATGTCGGGCATGCAGAAAATAGGTGAATGGCGCACAGAGGATGGTTTTATTGCTAATCGACCACCACCCGTAGTGGTGGAGCAGGATCAGCGCTCGTTGGTGAATAAGAGCTTCATAGTTATAACAGCCATAGTAAGTACTTAGTACATATGACAACACACATTTGTATGTATGTACATATATGTATGTAAGTGTATATGTGCTTTTATTTATGTACATGCTTATTTAGTAGTAGCAAGTATGATTGAGAATTACTTTTTGTAGGATCCAGCTTAAGTTTGCTTAGCAACTGCCTTACTTTGGAAGCCGTGGAAGCTTTTTCGTTATTTTCGCTCTACTTGCAATTTGTTTTCGATTACTTTTTACTTACAAGTATACGTATGAACTTATATGTGCATTAGACCGTACCAGAAAAAAGAAAGTCTAAACTATTTTTGCAAAGCCAATTTCGAAAAGGAGTGGTTTATTTTTTCTCCGATATTTATAGTCGGATCTTAAAGTTTGCTATATAGAAAAAATGCAATGGGGGGGGGGAGGGGGTCCATAAGAAATCGTCAGAACTAAAAAATGGCAAAATAGACTACTGGGTGTTATTATTGGAAGTCTTCCGAAGAGAAACAGAGTTTGCGATTTAAAAATATAGATTTTCAAGAATTCTAAAACATATCTGCGAAAACGTGTTTATTCCCTATACATATAAGTATGTATGTAAAATACATGGACAACTTTGAGCGCTTTGAGCGACCTCTAAATATGTTTTGATTTCAATATAAAAAAGGGGGTATATTTTTCGGGTGAGAGCATCAAAGTTCGGACTATAATTTTTTAACATACATATTTCGATCACCCTAATGAACATATACTAACTTTTGCTACATTTATTTATCCAATTTTTCTACATTAAGAGTGAACCGTATGGCATGCTGAAGGAGACTGCTGCTAAATTGGAAGGCAATGATCAATTCGAAGGCTTCGGCATTGAGTTAATCGAGGAGCTGGGTAAAAAATTGGGTTTCTCCTACACCTTCCGTTTGCAAGAGGATAATAAATATGGCTCGTTCAATCCGAAAACGGGTAAATTTGATGGCATGATGCTGGAAATTATCGAAGGGGTGAGTAGTTGATGGCGGCACACATTAATTCTGAACAGTGGGTGCTTGCATGTAAATATGTTAAACTTTCTTTATTTTGTAGCGCCACAGCTCGCATTGACGAGTTGATCGCATTTATTTTGTTAAGCAAACAATTTCCGCACTGATAATATATTTTCATATAAGAAATGCATATACAAATTGAAGCGATTTTCATGATTTATTGTATGTGTACTTGTATGTAAAAACGGCAGATTACTATCTAACATATGTATGTAAATGCAAAATCTCTCTTCAATATCGCTGTTGGCATTTTTCCCGCCATGTGGGCATACAACATATTTGATATATTCTGTAATTCCTTTAACTAAGTCGCCCATTTTTTTGTTTGCTTACACATACATACATACATATGCACGTATTGAGAATATTTTATTGAAAAGATAAAGTTATCAATTTCCTTTTTTTTCTTGGAATTCAAATGACCATCAGTATCATAAGTGGCTTACGCCCATACTGTTAACGCATACATACACATACACTCTTGTACATAAGTGCCCACCAAGAAGATAATTATGCCACAAAAACGACATCTTGGGTGTGGTAAGAACTCACTAATAGCAAAAATATGGTTCATTGTGCTCAAAAAAAAAAAAAAATCTGTGTGAAATGTGAAAATTTTTGGTCAATGGCTCGCCCACACGGGTTTCAAAATCGTGACGAGGTCTTCGGTGCATCGTCCTTTTCGTAAAACAACGCTAAAGATGACACCAGGCGGTTAAAAAAAATTCTGCAAAGCCAATTTTTCCAAATGACTATTCAGTATAAATGTGAAATTTTCCTACATGGCTACGTTACTGTGAGATATTAAGTAATCAAGATAAATATGAGGTCTATTTGTATAAGCAGAAGCTTCTTTGGTCAGCAAATTGTATTTATCTTGGATTTAATCATCTTAATACTTATTTGGGTTCGCCTCTTTCACTTTTGTCGTTGCCTTTCCACATATTTTTTTACCACGTTTGTGCCTGGCTTAGTGATGTTATTATTATTAAAAATTACCTAGATATATCGAAATGGCGTACAGTGGTACATGTACAGTATAATTTATAGCAACAAATAGAAAAACTGTTCCATCTTAAGATGATTTCGCTGTCGGATATTAAGAGCTTTATGTTTATTCAAGTTAGTTAAGCAAATAACACAGAAACGCAGAAACCCCTATCACACCTAGCGATATACCATTATATATATGTAGTTCCAACACGTTTCAAATCGATTCCCAGTAAATTCAAGCCGGAGATAGTAATTGACCTAAATACTGAACTAAAGAAGGTTTCGAAGTGAAACTTCTTTCTCTGTTGAAAATCTTTGAAATCGGCCACCTTCCATACAACGGTAATTTACAGAAACACGTAAACTGCCATAAATCAGCAACTACTAAGGCTAATTAACTTAAAATCGATGATTACAATCACCACTTAGCATAAAATTCGATTATTATACATTATTGGATAATGGACGTGGCTCCGCCCTCTTATGACCACAAATGTGTATCTCGGTAACCGATTTATCAATTTGTACCAAACTCCGTACACTTAATAACCTTAGTACGGAAAAGAAATTTGTTGAAAATTATTCAAATCGGACTAAAATTACACCCGCTTCCCATATAACGGTAAGTTTGAGAAATACGAAAACTCCGATATTTAAATAACTGAGGGCGCTAATTTACTCCAAGTTAATAGTAACAAAATTCTCTTGAAAACAATGAATAAGGATGCTATAGACTTTTAGGAATTGGGCGTGGCACCGCCCACTTATGACTACGAAAGTGTATCTCGTTAACCACTTTATCGATTTCTATCAAACTTGGTTCAATTATATCAATAAGCTTAACTCAGCATATTGTCGAAAACGTTCGAGCTCGGGGAAAACAGTCCTGATTAGCATGCAAAGGTAGTTTAGAGAAAGTTGAAACGACAATATTTGGTACCTGCGCCGGGTATGTAAAGTTCGCTTTCGTGCAAACTTATACTGTTTTACTTGTTTTTTTTTTTTAATTTGGTTGGTTTTTCTTCAGATCTCAGAATTCGTCGCTTTTGACAACCCCGATAAAAAGGTTTGACTTTTTTAGAGAAAAACCTTCCACCCAGAAGGTTCCAAAAAGAACTTTTTACAGAATCGAAATCAGTTCAGCCATTCGGAGACATTGAAAGATCTGCTAACGAGAGATCTTAGCGTTATGATGATCACCTTTCAGCAATAAGTTTAAAAAAAAATTTAATTTAATTAAAAAATATATATTGTGCTTTTTAAACCAATGTCCAATTATTAAAAAAAAATTAAATTCAAAAAGAAAAAATTAATAAAATAAAAATAAGCATCAAAAAATTAATTAATTTAAAAATTTTAAATTGCAGAAATGTTTTTCTTTTTAAAACAATAATATCTACAATCTAAATTATATAGAGGAAAATATTAAACCAAAATGAAGAAAATGTGTAAATCTTAGAAAATAAAAAATAAAAAAATATTTAATTCAAACCAAATCTAAAATCTAAAAACTAAACAAAATTAAATAAAACAGAGAACAAAATAAAATAAGATCCCAAAAATTAAATGAAATTAAGAAAACAATATTTTTTCTAAAACAATAAAATCTAAAAATTAAATAAATAGATTTAATTCAAAACAGGAAAAAATAGCATCTAAAAAGGTTACCCCGTGAAATATGCAATGCCAGAATTTCCATAATTCGCCATAGCAGAATTGCTGAATATTTTAACTGCATTACCAACGGAGCTAGAATCGCGGTGACAAGAACTGGTACAATTTTTTGATAATAAAATTTTCCGATTACAAAATCTTCGGTAACGTGCAGAATAGACCTGCAAATATATATTTTTGTTTTTAGAACAATACAATAAAATCTAAGATTTAACTCTCGGATCTCTCGAAAGGCGCGCGTCACTCACCCATTGCGACTGTTGGAGCGATGCGAGTTAACGGATATAAAAGTACTTTCTCTAAAAATAGGTTTTCACCATGAGAGGTTAATGAGAGAGGTTTCTCTAAGACTTTTGTGCTAGAATAACACCCGATTTACATGATTCACGTAATTTAAAGCAATTCTTGTGCATTATCTTTTGCGTTTCCTATTTGCTTTTACACGCTTCAATTCTGTTGAATTCAAGTTTTTGGTTCTTTAAATGGGAAACAACGAAATTGTCAAAAGCAAAGCAAGAAATTTGAAAGGACTTGACGGTACAGACGCATGTGTACTCTTCCCCTTTCTTCTTTTATATTTATTATTATATTTTATATTAAAAAGTTTTTGTTTTTTCTTCCCATTAGCGAGCTGACATGGGCATCACCGACTTGACTATGACATCGACTCGAGAAGAAGGAGTAGATTTCACTATTCCGTTTATGAATTTAGGTGATTCATATGAATGATTAAAAGAAAAGCCAAAAAAAAAAAAACAAAAAATTTATATTAACCAAGGCAGTAAAAATCGCAATTCCTACATATAATTTTTCTACAATACCTATCAAATTTCCTTATTTTCCTTAAGCTCAATGTCACTAAGCTACCGGTTCCTATCATTTGTATGAGTATTAAGCTTTGAGCACTTTACCGACTTCAGCACTACCATCCTCTTCGAGACCTTTTAAGTACTTACTGCATACTTATATTTGTGTGTACATAAATACTAGGTTACTAAGAACCACAAAGCAAAGTGCTAGTAGACCAACACCTTTTTCATTTCCCAGTGCATTTTCCTATACAGACTCACTCACTTTCATATCCTCAAAACTAATTGCATTTTGTACTTTGCAACATTTTTGGTATTTTTGTTTTTGTTTTTTTGTTTTCAAACAGGCATCGCCATTCTATTTCGCAAACCAATGAAGGAGCCACCGAAACTCTTCTCATTCATGTCACCATTTTCTGGCACCGTTTGGATGTGGCTGGGCATTGCCTACTTGAGTGTCTCACTCACGCTTTTCATTTTGGGACGCATTTCGCCAACAGAGTGGGATAATCCATATCCATGTATTGAGGAGCCCACCGAATTGGAGAACCAATTTAGTTTCCCTAATTGCTTGTGGTTTTCCACAGGTGCTCTACTGCAACAAGGCTCTGAATTAGCACCAAAGTGAGTACCCGCATATGGCTACTTGTTCATTTCGTTTAAGTTTGCAAGTGTGTATACGAGTACACATACATACATACATATGTATGTATACAAAAGTGAGTGCTGAATGCACTTGTGCCTTCATTCAATTCTCTTTGCGCTTCTGTGCAAATATCTACTGTCACACGCTAACAAATTCTGTCTTTCGCTTTTGCAACGCGTTTAATGCTTTTTGTTTTTTGTTTTTTTTTGCACTCAAAGAATTTAATTTCGTTTCAGAGCGTACTCAACGCGCACTGTGGCCTCAATTTGGTGGTTTTTCACGTTGATTCTGGTCTCTTCGTATACTGCCAACTTGGCGGCTTTCCTCACGATAGAATCGCTCAGCAGCCCCATTGAAAATGCGGAGGATTTAGCTGCCAATAAGGGCGGTGTAAAGTATGGCGCCAAAGTTGGTGGCAGCACATTTACGTTCTTCCAGGTGAGTTGAAATGAAAATAGGAGGAAAAACGCAGCCCTTGATTAGGGGCGCGTACACACACGTACATATGTATGTTAATGAATTATACGTTTTTCGGTTTTGCGCAAATTTTCATTAGGACGCTAAGTATCCAACTTATCAGAAAATGTACGAGTTCATGCGCGACCATCCGGAATATATGACATCAACCAATGCGGAAGGAGTGGATCGTGTGGAAAATGACAATTATGCATTTTTGATGGAGTCAACCACAATTGAGTATATCACCGAGCGTCGTTGTAGTTTGACACAAGTCGGTTCACTGCTCGACGAGAAAGGTTATGGCATTGCAATGAGAAAGAGTAAGTGGAGTAAGGTTAAAGCGTGCGTTGCGGTAGTTATATACCAATTTTGAATGCAACTAAAATGCAAAAAGTTAATTGAATTATTGGGCAAACCCAACAAGATTTGGAACATTTTCCAAATTTAAGTCGCTTTCTGACTCTGATATGCTTTCAAGTGAAAAAATATTCTGCTGGCAAATATTGGAACACGCGGCCATTGTTAAACTTTTCTGAATTAAATTTATATGGAAAGGTCAATTTTTTAGCGAATATAATACATTTTTTAATACTTGGAATAGATTAAAAAAAAAATGGTCTGGGCCCGAATTTAAAAAAAAAAGGAACAGTCCAGCGCCTTCGTCTTGGTCTGCAGGCTGTATCGGAGATACACCCGCTAAATTTAAACGTAGAATACGTGGTATGGTTAAGAGCATATCCAAGTCAAAAACGAAAGCACAAACTAAGAAAAAAATATCGATAACAAAAGCGATAATAAAATCGATAACAAAATCGATAAAAATATCGATAACAAAATCGTTAACTAAATCGATTACAAAATCGATTAAAAAATCTATCGAAAAATCGATTACAAAATCGATAACAAAATCGATTCCAAAGTCAATAACAAAATTGATAACAAAATCTATCAAAAAATCCATTACAAAATCGGTAATAAATTCGATAAAAAAATCGATAAAACTATCGATAACAAAAGCGATGGCAATATCGATAGCAAAATCGGTAAAAAAACCGATAAAAATACCGACAACAAAAGCGATAACAATATCTATAGAAAAATCGATAAAAATATTGATGACAAAAGCGACAAAAATATCGATAACAAAAGCGATAACAATATCGATAGCAAAATTGTTAAAACAATCAAGAAAAATATCGATAACAAAACCGATAAATAATCAATAATAAAATCAATAACAGAATCGATTACAAAATCGATAACAAAATCGATAAAAATATCGATCATTATATCGATAAGTTCCGAAAATATCGATAGCAAAATCAATAACAACATCGATACAAATTTCGATAACAAAATCGGTGAAAATATCGGTAACAAAACCGATAAAAATATCGATGGCAAAATCGATTAAAATATCGGCAACAAAATCTATAAAAATATCGATAACAAAATCGATAGCAAAATCGATAACAAAATCGATAAAAATATCGATAACAAAACCGAACAGATCCACATTAACTGAAACTTTCATATGTACGTATATATGCATTTACATATGTACATACGCTGCGATCAAAAGCCGCATTACATACGCATACATACTTTTTGTCTCCTTCCCACACTTCCAACATATGCACGTGTTTGCAAAATGATGACGAGGTGATTTTGTATGGAAAATCATTTATGCCCATATATTTGAATAAAATAAACATATATAGAAGATATCAACCAATACTTCCCATATACCAAACGAAAGGAAAACTCTTGAATTTTTGATTAAAGAAAACAAAAACAAAATCATTCGAGCGGTTTTCGAGCATTTTGGTAATGAAAAAAATTTGCAAATTTTTTCAACAATTTTTTGCCTTAAAATGCTCAATATTTGTTAAATTTATATAAAATTTGTACCCGATAATATTTCTACTGCTCCAAAGAACCTATATCCCGAAAATGAAAGTTATATATGCCAACAATAAGTTGCTAGAGCACTTTAAAGGCTCAAAATTGACCCCAAAATAAGGCAATGTTTACCGTTGTTTTTACGACAGAAACCGAATTGGTTATTTACAAAAATGAATCTGTCGACAGGTTTGGAATTTTATCTTTGAAACGCCACACTTTTCTTTGAAATCGCTTTATTAGTTCTCGTGCAATAAGCGTTTTTGTGAAGCTCTAAAAATTACAACTACAACATTTGAACATAGCCCCCATACCTTAAGGTAAGACGTATTCTACGTCAAAAACTTGAATTTTATCAGCATATGGTGAAAGTTGAAAAATTTATTCATTAAATAAAAGTATAGTAAACGGTAAAAAATTTACTCTTCCAGCCATTTATAAACAAATTAAGTCGAAAACTTCCCACTGTAGGCCGGACAAAAATTTGCGCGAGTAAGCTTGTAAACTATGGCAGCTAACTACACTTTCGCAAACCATATTATAATTTCTAAATTATGATTTACAAAATATCGAAATTTACAGCAACAATATATGTATATGGGTAGGCCATGACATAGACACCCAAAGCTTGAAAATTTTACTTTATACTTTACCTTCATCAGCTGTATAAAAAAAATACATATAATCACGAAAATAATGTGCTCATACATATATACCATTGCAAAAACATCCAATAGATTGGCCATATCGTGACATACTCAGCCAGGCTGTGCTGGAGCTGCAGGAGCAAGGTGTCCTCACAAAAATGAAAACTAAGTGGTGGAAAGAGAAGCGAGGTGGCGGTGCATGTTCGGTAAGTTTTCATTTCTAGAATGTACTTTACTGCTAGAAAATATATTAAATTCTTAAATTATACATACATATAAATAAATGCACGTGTGCAACGACTATACTTGCACACTTTCCTGATAACGAAAATTCGGCTACTTTAAAGGATACCAGCAGTGAAGGTGGTGCAGTGGCCTTAGAGTTAAGCAACTTAGGCGGCGTTTATTTGGTGTTGATAGTAGGCTCTTTTTTTGGTGTATTGGTCGCATTCCTTGAATTGGTTTTGGGCGTAAAGGAACGCTCCGATGAGAATAAGGTGAATTGGTTGAAGAGACGTATAATAATTTTGAAAATATGTAAATTGAGCGCAACACAAACGCTTTAACGACCTATGTATAACAATGAATATACATATTTTAAATATATTTGAACACACATACATACATATGTAGATAAAAAGCCACATACGTTGAATTATATTTAATAGTAGCAAGCAGGGTTTGTTGTAGATATACATACATACATACATGCATACAAACATATGTACTATATATACCTATTTTACAAGGCACTGCTTACCGACCGTCCACTGCACTCGTAACTCGCCTGTAACTAGTTGAACATTTTTGAATACAAAAAGCAGTTTAGTTTTATCTACTTTTAAGTTTTGACTTTCTATAATTTTTTTATAGTTTTTTCTTCTCATTATTGTATTTCAATGCAACGACAGGGCTGCCAACTATCCTTAGCTATGAAGCAGAGTTGTGAAAAATGCATTCATTTTTTTTTATGCATTAGTGGTACTTAAAGCAATAATGCTAATGTAAAAAATTAAGGGATTAATATATAATTGAAATTTGATGGAAATAAAAATTTCAGTGCATTAATTCTGAAAAATAAAATGCTGATGAAATTTATTTTCATTAAATTATCCAAACTAATGCTAATGAATAAATTTTAATACATTAAAGTTTTTAGTAATTTTGCTCGTTTGCATTATTAAAAACCATTACATTTTTCAAAAGTGCCATTGTGGCACTTTATGCCAAATTGAAAAATTAAGTGCATTTAAAAGTAAAATATGGCCAAAAAATGACACGGTTTGAGCCAAGTTGGCAGCCCTGGCAACAAGTTTATTTATTTTACTTTTTACCCACAAATTTTTAATTTGCCATTTTCTCCAATGCCTTCTGTGAATATCTTTTTAACACAAATACGCACCTTCAAACAATTCCAACTGCAACGAATATAATGAATCAAAATGTAATTACAAAATAAACAACAACAACTCCTTTCTCTGCAATGCATTGGAAACCTTATTGGGAATGCCTTTTTGCGTATACCAATTACACAAAACAAACTCGTCAAACCGCCATCTGATCACCATTACGTACGCATCTTTGTCCATGCAATCCTCATCACACAACCATGTAAAAAATTACGAATCAACCCGAACGCCACCGATCAAATACTAAAATACATACTCACCCACCCACTTCACGCTGCGCGTGCAGCAAGAGGGTGAGAACGATGGCGCCGAGGAATTGGGTATCGCCAATTTGGGTGGCGTGTACTTTGTTTTGTTCGTAGGTAGCATATTCGCCAGCATCTACGGCTTACTGGAATGGATTTGTTATGTTTACGGAACAGCGCGTCGTAACAAGGTACAGTCGGGCGGTGAATTTTTTTTTAGATACCATGGTTGCTTGAAAAGAACTCGAGGCAGGTAATAGGTAATAGTCTAATAATGGCAAAGGCTTACAACCCCAGGAGATCTAGGAAACCAATCAGCATGAAAATAAAAGACAAACTCAAAATTTATAAGAGGTCTGTTTACGGATCATTGCAGACTGCTGGCCCATATAAGCACTCCGGGGATTAGAGCAGACGACTCCTGACTTAAGGCTGCAAACATTCACTTTCTGTCGCCATCTGCTTAGTTTCATTAGAGTACTACGGCTGAACGAGGTTTTGTGATGAGCTCTTGGCGCACAATAGACCCAAGGTCGCAGAGCACATCCTCTATCAAATCTATTCTGTTCTATATGTACTAGTTTATACCGACAGGTTTCATCCCACATTTTTATACAAATATCAATAACATTGAAGTTAAATTAATAAACATGTGGCAACCTTATTCGGAAACCAACGGCGCAGATCTGATTAACTTTACAAAAAAATGCTTTCTCGTGTTATATGTACATATCGTCGTTTAAAGTACAAAACCGCGTAACTGACATTTGCTGCCAAAAATGTGATTTGCTCACTCAAGCTCTTGGCTCAAGCCTTATCCATTCGTCCTGAAATATAATAGTCAGAAATGCGATTGCTTTATAAAAAAGAGAACCTTTTTGAAATATGAGTGTTTTTACGCTCTAGAAAATAATTTCCACAACCTCACATACTTAGGTTCTGCCTTATTTTCGTTTGTACATTTTACACTGGGAAAATACGTTTTTTCCTAAAATTGATATTAAATCGTTAAAATAAAAATGTCTATCAAATAAAAAAATTTCCTTTCGGAAATCTCCCAAAAATATTGTGATGCATATCTATTTTCAACTTTAAAATCTTACTAACTTTGATTACGCGCATGCTTAGGAACACTTAAAATAATAAATGTTTGTATATAATAATAATATATTTTGGCGCTTATAAATTGTGTTATGCTTTTTTATCTTCTTACACAAATGGAGGGAACTTCCATAGTTTTCAGAATGAAAAAAAAAATTAAATTTTGCTTCTAGCACAAAAAAAAATGTCGTCATAGTACACTCTTTGGGAAATGTGGGCAAAATTAAAACAAGATTTCGAGTTCAGCAGGAAAGACTTTTGAAAAAAGCAGAGTGAAAGGAGGGAAAGCTAATAAAACAGCCATCACTCGTAGTTATGGTCAAACGATAATTGTGTTTTTTTTTTGAAAACTTAATAATAAAAATTATATATGTAGCTTTATATACTATATGATTCTGAGAATATCTCTTCTAAAGAGGATAGCGCAAATATTGATGGAGAACTTTTCAAGCAACCCTAATGCATGCGTAAGCATTTGTCTATATGTGTGTTGACCTATCTCACAAAATGTTAATCTGGTGAATCAGGCAATTAATGAAGATAATAGCTGATATAAAAATTCGAACAAAATTGTCTAAAATAACATCCGAGAGCTGTGATTAATATAAAATAAATCTGTACATGTTTACTTATGTGACTTTGTAAATTAACAGCGAGCGAATTAAAAAAAAAATGTGATGACTGCATTGACTTTCGCTTTATATGTCGCCTTATAGCCTTTTGTATAACGGATTTTTTTTTTAATTTTACGTAATGCATACTCACCAATACTACTTCATACATCTAAGGCACATTCTTTTCACATACCCTAAACTATTACTTTCAAAGTATGTACGCCTTTTAACAGACCCTCCATCACCCTTACATTCCCTGCTGCAACCTAGCTTTTACATTGATATAACTACATAAGTATGTATGTTTGACTTTGTGTGCTTTTTATTCACTTCCTTTATTCTAGTTAATCTAATAATTTCTTTAATTTTTCCCCTGTGGCGAAATGCTTACGCACAGGTGTCCTTCAAAACCGAACTCATCGAGGAGTTCCGCTTCGTTATGCAATGCTCGGGCAATACCAGACCAGTCAAGTATCCAAAGAATTCGAGTCGCAGTCGCAGCCGCAGCTCTCGTTCGCATTCACATTCACGTGCCAGTTCGAAGAGTTCGGCGTTGACGGTGGATTCTTTACCAATGGACGAGAGTAAATTACATCACATTAGCGAGCATCATTCAAAGCACTCTAAGTGAATGCAAACGAAAGGGAAAGAGGAGCGTGTGGAAGTCCTTAAGTGACTTGCATCATTGAATTATGCAACCATTAAAGAAATTGTTTATTGTATTCGTTGAATAACATATTTGCTTTAAGTTGTCTTTTCCTGTTTTAATGAGTAGAGTTTATTTGTTGTACACTGTTCAAGTTTTGTAATAATAAATCAAGAACTTATTTGGAATTCATGCTATTTAATTTAAACGGAGCTGAAATGGTGACTAAACAAAAAAACATTAAAATAAAAAAAAACTAAATATTTGAGGAAAATTAAATTTAAGATCGGAAAAGGCTCTCATATTTCCGATTTTAGGCCTACATAAGAAACGCGGTTCCTCGTGGCTGCCTTTGAAGAGCGAATACCGCCCTGCACACATTGGCAAAGTGGTCAGAGGAATCCTTTACGAATGAAGATTATGCAGTAGGGGCCTTCTTCGTTACCAAGGGGGAGGAGGGGGGGGCGTCTGCACTGAGGACAGAGTCAATAGAAGCAGTCCACAAGGTGGTGTTCTCTCTCCCTTGCTCAGGATTGCGGTTGTAAACGACTTTTTAGAGGAACTGGAAAAAGTGGGCTGTCGGGTCTCGTGGAAGCCGCGAGGAAAGGGCTGAAAAGGTGTCGGTTGCCTTGTACTATTGTAGAGGAGCTATCAGTGGGGTTTCTCATCCAAATTTATTCATAAGCTCTGGGAAACCAGGTTTAAGCGTATATTGTTTCAAAGAGCCCTTGTCTGGTGGAACTCACTAGAGAAGGCTTCAATTGTAAAACAGGAATTAATAATAATAATAATAATAATAGATTGGCGCTTACACATATGTTAGTGTTAGAGCTTAGCGGAGCATTATTAACCACACCTACACTGACGCTTAAAATACATATTTTGAACACGGCGCCTGCGGATATTGCAGGCAGAATTGTCGCCGCACGAACTGCTATCAGGATAAGGGAAACCGGGTCCGTTTGTGACATAAAAAGCAAAAGCTCTGCTGCAGCAAATGTTTTTATATGGCACTTTAAAACACGTTACCTCTCAAGGGCTAGTGATGGGGGTTCTGACAGGCCATTGTGCAATTGGGATTCATGCGGTGAGACTAGAAATTTCAACTGATCATTTTGTATCAATCGTCAAGAGGAAGATGAAGTGGGATCATCCCCACACTTTCTTTTACACTGTCCAACCTTCGCGAGGCTAAGTTGAAAGCATTTTGGCTCGCACTTCTGAACAAACACTGAGCTCTCAGGGATCGAAATTAGCTGCATTCAAAATTCCGTAATCGGCTCGCTCCGTTAACTTAACCCAACCTATGCTGTACTGCTTTGAGCTATGAAATATTTGGTCACATTAGCCATCCTTCATATTAGAGCTCTTTTGGTAAGCGGTAACTAAAATTTGTTTTGCTTAATATTTCTATGCATCTGCCACTCTCTGTTTAAACATATTCGTTCCTGTTATTTGTTGATTTTTACTTAGCAAAGACATGCACCTTAGCACTTGCGGCCTCTGCAGGCAACTTTTTGTGGCGAATCATTAAAGGGCCCTCTATGGGCAAGCTAAGCATTTTTGCACCATATTTGTTATTTTCAAATGATTATATCTCATAAGGATACATACTTACAAGTACAAGTTATATATCAAATTAAAATCTGTGATTTGCCGCTTTGTAGCCATTTTTGAGATTTATATATAGTAAGGGTTTCGCATTGGCACACTGTGCTCTGCTGTTTCCCGTACTTCAGTACACAACCGGCACCGATCAGAGTGAACGAACAAAAAAAGGACCACATTTTATCAAAGACATCAGAGCCTCCGCGCCACAGCTGCCACGATGAGAGTTTATGTCGTTCAAGTCCAATGAATGATATCTCTAGTAGGGCTGTCAAACTATCGACGATACTATCGATAGTATCGATAGTCTGGTCACTTGAAATAACTATCGATAGTTTTAGTACTATCGCCACTATCGTTTCATTGATAGCGTATTCTCTTTCGTAGCGCTTTTGAAATTTGCACGTATTGGTTCAAAGAGAGCAACACTTGACGGCATTATTTCATGAACCAACGAATAAAGGTCACCCAGGACGGTGTGCGAGAAAAAAGGATTAATTTTTTGCAGTGGTGTCATTTTTTCGCCGCCATGTGATAGAAACGGAATGAAACCATGTGTGTGAATGAAAGAACCGATTAAAAAATGACGGTATCAACTATTATTATTTTTTTTAGTTGGCTAATGGCATTATTTCTAAAAGCACCATTTTTAATTTTAAACGTGGAAATAGCAGAGGTTATATTGCCGTCTTAAGAGCTTGTCAGACGTGGCAATGCAGTATGTTTCAAAAGAATGTCAAATTGAGAAATTTCAGAAAGCAGTTGCATGAGCACCTTGCATGTAAAGTGTCTTTTGAAAGAATTTTTTTTTTTTCCGAGGCGAATTGCTGGGAAAATTTCTGAAATCGCTTTGTGACTGTTTACATGACGATTGAATTTCTAGCAATATTTCTCGATACTAAAATGCAACCGTGAGCCGCTAAAATAAACAAATTTATAAAAGCAAGATAACGAAAAATAAATGGATGTAGAAAAACATATAAAATGGGTCTATACCTACTATCGACAGTCACCCTTAAGACTATCGTAAAACATCGATGGACTTGACTATCGATAGTTTGACAGCTCTAAACTCTAGCCTACAAGGGCTACTTTGGACCGCAGTTGATGGAAAAATTGGCTGCATGAGCTTTCCAATGGCATACGAGTACTTAGTACAGCAAATTAAGGCTGAGTTCCAAGTTGCATGAATGCAAAGAATGAAAGCATACAGCCCAGCTTCGGCAGGTGGAATCAGAGCAGGTAAGAGAAGGCATCCTCTATGATGGAAAGACTGTATGGAGAAGCACATGAAATTGGCGCTGAAGATAAAATACAGTCGTACTTTAATGGACTCGGCCGGAATCGCTAAGGCGGCTGCAGCGACAAGCAAGAAGAAGAATTATATCGTGTTGCTATAAATTAAAATCTAAAATGAATTACACGAATAATTTTCCAACATTTTCAGTAAGTTTTATTAGTTTCATCCAAATATGCACATTCAGTTAGACACATAGAAATGGAAAAGGTATTTATTTCACGCTTACAAAGTGTTTCTTTCCAAATATCAGTTACAGTAAGATTTCAGTTTCATATTCGCTAGCTTCACGGTATTTACTAATTTAATTTTTCGCAGTAACTACATACATAGTTCTTTATAAATGTGTTTTTTTTATCAATATATTTTTAATTTATTTTATTTATTTATTATTGTAATATTTGTATATTTTTGATTTCTTATATTATTAATTATGCATTTAAAATATAAAAAAAAGCTTCTAATGCATTTATTTTTTGGTCAGTAATATTTTTTAAATTATTGAACTATTATATTTAGAGTAGAAGAGCCTTTGAGGTTTGTTTGGTGGGTTGTGTTATAGATTTGAATATGTGTATTAAAAAATCGGTTCATAATTTAAGAAATATGTATATGTAGAAGTATGTATATAAAACTGTACATACTGTGTAAAACTCTTGAATTTGTGATTTTTGTACAGTTATAATATTCATACCAAGTTATTTAAATAGATAGTAAATAAAAATCAGATAAAAAATTTGTATGTAGATAGTAGTAAATTTGTTTTTCAAAAGTCCCTATTTGTAGTTGCGAAAGTTTTAGGTATTTCTTTATAATTTACATATTCGAGTTTTGTGAGTTAGTACTGCTCGTATATATGTTTATATGCATGTATGTATGTGATATGATTTTTGGTGAGCTTTAATTTAATTTAATGAGGGGGTACTTGAGGTCAATGAACTGTGGAACAAAAAATTTTCCCCTCGAAACATAGAAGATATATGACGAAGAATGTAAAAAAGCGACCACTACATTCGGCAAAAAAAATGTAATTGTTTTCAAATCAAAATACTTCCTTAGAAAAAGTTTAATCACTTTCGGCGCGCTTTAAATTACTTACATTTGAAATATGCGGGTTAGTACCTACCAGAACAGGCTATTTGAGGTCAAAGAACTTTGGCCTGGAAAAACTTTGTCTCCTCGAGACAAGAACAACCATATATGTATCATAACATTAACATCCGACTGTAAATGTCGAGTTAAAAAAATATAAAAAGGCGACCCCAAAGTTCGGCAAAAAATAATTTCTTATTCATAGTCAAACTATTTTCCGGTACGGTCTAATGTACATCCAAATGTAAACAGGTATTATTCGTAAAAGTAAAGTGCTATCAAAACCTAAAACAGCTTAAGATATGAATAATAATTACGCAGTTAGCTTGAATTAAAGCTTCCAAGCTCAATAACTGTTTTTGTAATAAACATCCACTAAAAACGTGAATCTGTTATTCGTCATAAAAAATTTTAGTAAGAAATTAATTAAAAATTTTCTATTTCCCAGCAAGTGAAAAATTTTAGAAAGTAACTATATATATATATCTGGTAATGGGTGGCAATTATTAAGTAAATCCTTTAGGACTCAGACCATACACAATTCAAATAAAAACCACAGAAAGGGAAAAAAGAAGTTCCTGCAAAGATGAGATGGAGAATCTAAAATACTTAGGCATCGTTTTTTATACTGGCTAGGCGGCCAAGGCTAATGATAAACGCCAAGGGGCCGTCGCAGAGTTCTATGTACTCTTTAAAGGAATATTATGGATATTCAGAGAAACGCGTAAGTGCTTCGTAACCGCGTAAACCTCGTAAATGAACCGATTTCACATACAAAATTATGTAGTGAAAAATTGTTGGAATAAATCTGGGGTTTACAACAGTCTGCACTATATTTTCACTTCGTCAACATTTTTTCCCCAAAATTTAAAAAAAGAAAGTAGTCTCTTTCAGTCGTTACTTCGAAAATAATGTATAATTCGGAGTAAAACTGGGTATGTATGTACGTATATAAGGCCAAATAAAAACTTGAAATTGGTTAAAAAGTAACCGAGCTAAAAATTGTTTAGTGCCGAAAAGGTTTTTTTTAGGAATTAGTTGAGAATTTGAGGGTGTTAGAAAAATTTTGAAAACAGCTGCGTTAATTAGCCGGCCAGCTCTACGACCTTTACTAGG